TAAGAACTCCGATAAATGCAATGATGACTCCAGAGGACCCATGATGAAACATCCTATCCACCTCCTCGGCAGAGAAGGGATGGATTCAAGATGCAGGATGAGACACATTTTTGGACACGGCTAGCATGGGGATTTGTTTTGCTTGACTATGTATATTTGTTACAAGGATTTTTCTTTTCCTTTGTTTTTTCTTTTCCATTTGGGGCAGAGATGGAAAGGAGAGAAAATAAATGCTTACTAATTGAAAAAATTTTAAATACAAACTTTAAAAAACATAATCATCCTGGTCTCCCATTGTGCTAAAGGACAAAGTTCATTTGCCACTTGGGATCTGGATAATTACTAAGGAATACAAATGGGCAAGGATATTGGTATGATTATAATAAACAATAAGCCCTTCTGTACATTTTGTTTTCTAAGAATGTTTTTATTTTATTTTTTCTCAATTATGTGTAAAAACATTTTTAACATTCTTTTTTAAAAACAAATTTTGAGTTCCAAATTTCCTCCCTCCTTCCTTGAGAAGGTAAGCATTTTGATATAGGTTACACATGTATAGTCGTGCAAAACATATTTCCATATTAGTTATGTTGTGAAAGAGAACACAGACCAACTCCCCCTGAAATATAAAGAAAATTTTTAAAAAGTATTCTTTGATCTGCATTCAGACTCCATCAGTTCTTTCTGGAGGTGAACAGCATTTTTCATGATGACTCCTTTGGAATTGTCTTAGATCATTGTATTACTGAGAATCGCTAAGTCATTCACAGTTGATCATCTTTAAAATATTGCTGCGTGTAAAATGTTCTCTGTTCTGCTCGCTTCACTTTCCATCAGTTCATGTAAGTCTTTCCAGGTTTTTCTGAGAGCATCCTGCTCATTGTTTCTTATAGCACAGTAACATTCCATCACAATCATATACTACAATTTATTCAGCCATTCCCCAATTGAGGGCATCCCCTCAATTTCCAGTTCTTTGCCACCACAAAAAGAGCTGCTGTAAATATTTTTGTACATGTGGGTCCTTTTCTCTTTCTTATGATCTCTTTGCAATATAGACTGAGTAGTGGCATTGCTGGGCCAAAGGATATGCGCAGTTTTATAGTCCTTTGGGCATAGTTCCAAATTGCTCTCCAGAATGGTTGGATCAGTTCACAACTCTCCCAACAATGCATTAGTGTCCCAGTTTTCCCACATCCTCTCCAACATTTATCATTTTCCTTTTCTGTCTTGTTAGCCAATCTGAAAGGTGAAAGGTGATACCTCAGAGTAGTTTTAATTTGCATTTCTCTATCAATAGTGATTTAGAGCATTTTTTTTCAAATGACTACAGATGGCTTTGATTTCTTCATCTGAAAACTGTTCATATCCCTTTGCCATTTATCAACTGGGGAATGACTCATATTCTTTCTGTACATTTTCAACAAGAGGGACTCTTGTCCTGCAGTGGAGAGCTGGTGAGGTGCAGAACAGATACCCAGAAATCAAGACTTGGGCAAGGTTATCTATAAAGAGATGCCAGTGTGAGGAGGGGCAGCACAAGCATCATCAGATCCAAGCAGCCTAGCCTCTGATACAGTGTGGCCTTGAGCAAGTCATTTAACCTTTCATTGCTCTTGGCCCATTCTCTAAGCTCATAAGTTGTGGAAAAGGAAGTGACCTGCATGGGTAGAAGGAGCTCCCTCATCTGGGGTTTGCCTTTCCCAATAAAGTCACAGGTACAGTCTGTTTCCTTATCCTTAAAACCAACATGGCTCATTATTTTGATTTAGAATACACTGGTGTAATATATTACACTGGTGTAATTATAATGAACCTCTCATAAAGCCATGAACATTTTGAAAGCTAATTGTAAGAGGTTTTTTTTTTCCCTAGAAAAAGGCTTTAGAGAGCATACTCCTCACCTTTTTCAGCTTTGTAGGGGAGTGGTCTTCCTACAAGGGAGGCATTTCTAGGGGATTGACCCTTCTGTGGCTTTCTTTGATCTCCTGAAGGCAACGTAAACTCCTTAGCCTGGCATTTTCGGCCCTCTCCCACCTGGTGCCATCTGGCTGTCCAGGGTCTGGTGAATAGGTCCCCTGGGTGACCTCTAGGCTCTAGCCAAACTGACCTCTCATGTGTGCTCCCAACATGCCCTGTGCTTTTCTGTCACCAGATCTCCCCTCCTGTTTTTCCCTTCACAACCTCCTCCTCACCTGTTGAATTCCTAGACCTCCTTTAACCCCTAACAAAAAGGCCTCACCCACCAAGAAGCCTTCTTGGATTTCTTCCAAAAATGAATGAAGGACATTCTTTGCTTTGTCTACTGGGCTGCTAGAAGACTTTAATCCAGAGAAGAGAAAGCATACAGGGGGCTGAGGAAGAAGCAGAGGCAGTTTCCAGGAAAAAGTGATGGTTGTGGTTTTCCTTGAAGGATGCAACCCGATAGACAAACAGACAAAGCAAAGCAAGTCACTAGACATGGAGCCTTGCCATGGAAGTCCCAGTTTGAGCTGAGCACATCCTTCCTCCAAGTCTAGCTCTGTGCTCGGCGTGATGAGGACACAGGGCAGAATTTTCCAGCCTTGTTCTCGGCCTCCTTTCCTGTGTTCTTCTCACACTCTAAGGTCTTCCAAGTGTTTGTGGGAGGAGGCAGAAGACCTGTTTTCAAATCCTGACCAGCCACCTCCTAGGCCTGTGCCTGTGGGCAAGCCACTGACATCGCCTCTCTGCCTGTATCCTCAGCCATGAAAGGGAGTTAGTGATTGCTACCCTTCCTGAAACTGAGGACCTTTGGGAGGGGTGTCCTTTGAAAAGGGTCCAAAGAGAGGTCAGCACCAGCTGTTGCTGCAGCTCACCCATCAGTTCTTGGAAGGCAAGAACCAGGCCGGACAGATTTCTGAATCTGCTCCCCACCCTCCAACACAGCCCTGGGCACACTAAGCTTTTAGGAAACTTTGGCTGAGACCTGAGGGAGCAGCCTCTACATTCTATGTGACTTCTCCCTGTCATTGGGCTGTACCAGCATCTCCCTTCTCATTATGCAGATTGTGTGCCTGGGCCATGGTGGGGGAGGAATGGTTAGTCCCTCATATGCTGTCCCCCCCACTCCAGACCAGCGCCATTGCTTATAAAAAGGAATAGTCAATCCCTGCTAACATCCCTCCTACCCCCAGGCAGGCAGCAGGGAGGCCTTTGTGACCTGATCCACTGAATTCACCGAGACTGTTTTATTGGGGTGGGGGTGGGGGTGCAGGAATTATGAACACGAGTCTCACCTCTTACAACCGGGGGCAGGCATGCCCTGCTTCCCTCATCTCAGCATTGGGGCCCTGCTCTTGAAACCCCAATCCAGGGAAAGAGGGCCAAAGCTGAGCTCTGGGGGACCCTAGGCAGTGACTATCCCGTGCCGGCTTCCAACCGTTCACCATCTTTCACGTGGGGATGGGGAGGATGGAAGGAGGGGAAGGCAGGGGTAACAGCCCAAGCCACGCCAGTGCCTCCGACTTTCGGAGACTCTCTGTTGGGGAGGGCTTGGTTTACATGTACAAAAATCTCACATTGAATTTTCTCACGTCGAAGTGCTGGGGACCCGAGAGGAGAAAAAGAGAAAAGAGATAAGTGTAGGCACAGAGAAAAAGTGACAAAGCCAGAGAGGAAGGGGAATGGGGGGGGGGGGACTGGAGGAGGGGAAAAGAGACAGAGAGGGAGGGGAACAAGGGGAAGGGGGAGAGAAGAAGGGAGAGGGAGATCGAGAGAGGGGGAGAGACAGAGACAAAGGTGGAGGAGGCAGGAAGAGAAAGTGAGACCGAGAGGGAGGGGGAGGGGGCGAGGCAGACCGACTGGAAACAGAGAAAGGAGGGTAGCAAGAGGCCGGCAGTGTCGCCCCCTCCCCCCCAGTCCTGCAGCCTCTCCCCCTCCCCCCCGTCCCCCTGGGCAGGCGGGGCTGCTGTGCGGGGGGCTGGCCCGCATTTCGGGGGCAGGCTTAGCGGGAGGGGGACGGAGGCCCTGCCAGCAACCCCGCAGCCCGGCCCGGCAGCGCCGCGATTCTTTGAGTGGGGGTTGGGGTGGGGGGGGGGCCAGGGTGGAGAGCCGGGTCCGGGATGAGGAGCGGGAGGGTCGGGCCCCTCAGCCCTCTCCCCCCTCACTTTCCAAGTTCCCCCGGCCCAGAGTTTGGGCCGCTCTCCCAGGATCTCTCTCTGCCCCCTCCCCCTTCCCTCTCCGCTTGCCCCCTCCCCTTCCCTTGTTCTCTCTCAAGCTCGCCGCGGGCCCCCCGGGGCGCGGGGCCCGGGGGGGGGGGGGGGGGGGCGCGGGGGGCGGAGGATTCTTTCAGTCCCTTCTCCCCCCTCCCCCTCCCTCCTCTCCCCCTCCCCCTTTGCTCTCCCCCCTCCCCTGCCCGCTCCATCCGGGCACTGCCGAATTAGCATTGACGGCCGAGGCACAACTTTTTCTCGAGGCCGAGGGAAATCCAGGCGCGCACTCGGGTACGGAAATATAGTCCCTGCCTCCCTCCCTGCCTGCCTGCCGGCCTGCCTCCCTGCCTGCCTCGCTCGGGCTGGAAGGCGGGCTCCGGACGGCGGGCGGGGGCTGGGCCGTCGGGGCGCCCCGAGGAGGCCGAGTCCTGCGCCCGGGCGCCCCCTCCCACTCCCACTCCCACTCGGCACTAACTCGCGCTGTCCCCACTCGCACACTCCCAACTTGCTTTGCTGCGCCCGGAGTTGTTCGTTGTCTGCCCTGGCTGTGGCCGCCCTTCGCCCGCTTGGAGCTCGGTTGGAGGGGGGTGGCTATCGTGGTCCGCCTAGGGGAGGTGGCCGTTTGCCGTGGATTTTTTTGGTGGGGGAGGGGGCTGATTCCTCCCCCCTCCCCCGCCCCGTCAAGTTTCCCCCCTTCCCCTACCTCCTCCTCTTTCCCCGGGAGGACGCTAGGGGATCGTAGCCCCATCTCCGCTCCCCTGTGAGGCCTGACAGCCTCCCTGGGATCGAGGCTCCAACTGGCTGCAAAGTGCCCGACAAGTTACAGGAATGGAGCTCCAGAGCCTCCAGGAGGCGTTAAAAGTGGGGATCCAGGGTCATCAGGTAAGTGGGGGTGGGCTCTGGTCTTGGGAGTTAGCCCCGAGAGACAGAGACAGAGAGACATAGATGGGGGGTGGGGAGAGAGAGAGAGAGACAGAGAGAGAAAGAGAGAGAGAGAGAGAGACAGACAGAGAGAGAGAGAGAGAAAGCCAGAGCCCTACACCCAGAGTTTTAGCGAGAGAAAGAGACTGAGTCTCCCAGAGGGAACTCGGGCTTGACGTGAAGGGAGGGATGTACCCGGCTCTCGTGTTACAAGCTCAATACGAAAAAAAACCAAACAACTAGTTTCTTCTTCTTCTTTTCTCCCCCCCCCCCCCCCCCCCCCGCCTTTTGCTCAGGCTCCCATCGCTATTGCGCTGCGGAGGGGAATCTTGGGGATGGGGGATTCGGGGTTCGCTTAAAATGCCCCCCTTCAGACCTGCGCCCTGCAGCCCGCCGCCCCCTTCCTCCCCTGCGCCATCCGCCCACTTTGTCAAAGTAGTTTGGCAGAATGTTGCCGGGAGTTATGGTTTGTTCCCGTTGGAATCCGGAGTGATCTTGCGACTGCTAGTGCTTGGGCGAGTGTGCATGAGTGTGTATATGTGTGTGTGTGTGCACCAGTGTGCATGTGTGTGTGAGAGAGAGGGAGAGTGAGTGTGCATGTGCGTGCGTGTGTGTTGGAGAGATTAGGACGAGACTTGAATATTTATGAGCTTTGCTTGAAACTGACTCGCTGTGTTTACTTGGCTCTTTGTTCCTCCCCCCCCCCAGTTCACTCGCACTCACACACACACACTCACACGCAGTCTTCCTCTCTCACACTCACTCCTATGTCTGGCTTTTGGGGGTTCGTTTTTTAAAGAAAACAATCACTAAACTTGAAACCTATCGCGATCCCTCCTCTGGGGTGATTAAGAGAAAGACCGGCCCAAACTAGTTGCTCAGATGAGGCTTGCCGAGCCACAGGTAAATGCAAACCTTGCCTGCTTGCCGCTGGGGTTTCTCCTGGTGGCATCAAAGCCCTCGTGCCAGGCGCCGAGAGGGAGAAACTTTATCTGGCCCAGATTTCCTGTGGGGTTGTGCCCCGAACCCCCCAAGCGCCCCAGGCTTTCCTCTCCTCTGGGCCCCCTCCCTAGTTTCCCTTGCTGGGGAGTTGAGAACCCGCCGCCTTCTTCCCGATGTCAGTCATTTCTTTCTTTCTTTTTATCGCTCTTTCTGCAGAACGGCGACCTTAAGAAACAGCTCCCAGAGAGGCATTCCCGGATAGCGGCCCTTAACCAGAGACAAGTAAGGCTGGCTCCTGCCGTTCTTCACTCATCTGCCGGTCCTGAGGTGACCAGGGTTTGGACAATGCACTTTCTCAGGATCTGAAAAGTGGTTGCGTTAGCGAAAAATGCTTTAGGCCGGAATCCTAAAGTTCTGCGGGGAGCCCAGGTGGGCCCTTGTGGTTCGGAAACGACCCCAGATGCAGCCTGGGCCAGGGCCAGGAGGAAGGATGTAAATTATTCTGCCTGACTTCCCCCCCCCCCCCCCCCCGCGGGGTCCAGCCCCCCCTCCCCCCCCCCCCCCCCCCCCCCCCGCCCTCCACGGAGGCATCCATTTTGAGTTGGTCGACATGTTTTAGGAATAGGGACATTGCTGCCGTCTTGGGCTCCTTGGTACTACGGCCCTTTTGCGTGTCCGGGGAGTGGGAGGCTGGGGGCCTGGGGGGAGGGGCTGGGGAGGCAGAGGCGGCTTGTCAGCAGTTTCTGGTTTCTGTGGCAGAGCTGGTTCACATCGATCACTGGAAGACCTCCCTCCACAATTGACTGATTTCTTTTCTGGACTGGGGACCCTTGCCTTTCTCCCTCCCCTTTCTCTTCTCCCCTTTCCATTCTTCCTACCCCCCGCCCCACGCCCCGGGAACTTGAACTCGTGTTTGTCCTCCAGTCCTCTTTGCCACCGAAGTCCTGCCCTGGCAGAAGGTGGAGTGGGGCAGGGGGAGAAGAAAGACATAAACAAAACAAAACCAAACCCAAGCCGACCTCAGCTGAGACAATCCACCCAAACTTGAAGCTGCTGCCTTCTTTTTGTTCATCAAAAAGAAAAAGTTTGCTTCGGAAAAGATTTTGGGTTGCCCTCCCCCATCCCATCTCTCTTGTGTCCCTCCCCCCTCCCCCTCTCTCCAGGCTGAGGAAAAAGTTGGCCATTGTGAGTTTGTTCAGCTGAGATCAGCTGATGGCGAAAAGCCGGCGTGGTTAGGTTTCAGCACCACGAACAGATGCCGCTGAAACGTCTTCCACGCTCTGCAAACGCGGCTCCCTTTCTCCTCCCCCCTCCTCCCCTCTCCTCTCCCCTGCTCCTCCCCCTCCTTCTTCCCCCTTTCCCTCCCCCTCCCCCTCCCCCTCCCCGTTCTGTACTTCTGCAAAACCTGGCAGCCTGCAAAACCCATCCAGGATCTGCCGGATTGCAAAGCTTCCCCCCGCCGACCCCCTTTCTTCCTCCCAGCCTCCCCTCCGCCTCCACCCCTCCCCTCCCCCCACAGCTAAGAACTTTCTACATCGCGTCCAATTGCGTCTCCCGCAGCTTTCCAAAACCCCTTTGGCGGAGATTCCCGCCCCCCCCAACCCCCGGCCCACTCTCTCTCTCTCTCTCTCTCTCTCTCTCTCTCTCTCATCCCCTCCCCCATCTCTCTTCGCTTTCTTTTCTCTCCTCCCCCTCTCCCTCTTTTCTACCTCTTCCCCCTCCCTGCCACTACATTTCTCCCTCCCCCCTCTCTTTTTCTAGATCTCCCCCATTCTTTCTCACACTCTTCCCTCCCTCCCTCCGATCCCTTCGCTGAATCGATCGCTTTTCCTTCGGAATGCTGCATAGCTCTTTCGGACCAAACTTGGAGCTGAGCCTTAGATCCTCCTCTCCCCTGTCTCCCCCCCCCCCGTAGAATGTATTTATTTGCCAAATGTCCCACCCCCTGGCTAGTGAAAAGGGGAGGACCTCTAGGTTCATTTTTCTTGGTTGGGAGGGGAGGGGGGGAGGTCTTGTTTGAAAAAGCTGCTGCTCAGAGAGGGTGGGAGAAGGGGTAGGGATGTTGGTGGCGAAGGCCTGGGGTGAAGATGGGGGAGGGGGCGCGGAGAGGAGAAAGCTGAGATTTCAGTGTTTTATTTAAGGAGTCGAAGGAAAAGTTGAAAAGTGAGGGAAGGTTGGGGGAGAAATATGGCTGGTTCTGTTGGTCTGAAAGATAGTCATGGAGGGGGAGGAGGAGGAAGAGGAAGAGGAGGAGATGCAGGAGGGAGAGGGATGGCTTTGGAAAATGAATGAATTGTATTTGGTGTTGTGTATATGGATTTTTTTTTAAAGCCCCTAGCTCTGTTCATTGTCTCGGAGTTGGTCAGCGTTCCCCTTTTGGTAGTGGGAGCTCCCATTTTGTGCCGAAGTGGGGGGGGTTCCTCTCTCCTCTCAACATGGAGAAAAGTCTGCAGAGTTTGGGGTGGGGGAGGGGCCCCATTCATGCTGAACATTACCATTTTGATTGCTTCGATGCCATTTTTTGGAGGGGGAGGGGTTAGAATACCCGACTCAGCCGAGCACAAAGATGCTTAATCACTGCATGGAATCAAATCACAGATTTTCTCTTCCTTAAAAAAAAGAAAAGAGAGAAAAAAGCAAACCTGACGCGAAGTAATAGCTAAGGGTTCCGAGTACTGTGGGTCTCCCCTACCCCCCATAAAACTACAAGTTGATGACTCCTCCGAGTCGATTTAAAAAGGGGTACACCTCCTGGGCTCGAGGTCTCTCTTGCGGCTTCTCTCCGCCCCCTGCCCCTGCATCTTTAGCAGGGCTTCCTTCCATGGGAGGGGGTAGTTGGAGGATCTCTTCAGTGGATTGTGGGAGGGCCCTCGGTTTCTGAGGCACCTCTTCCCCGATCGTAGCACCTACTTCCAGACTGTTTCAGTGTGTGTGATGGTAGTTACGAGATGAGCAACTATTTATTAGGTGTCGTGGCGGAATCTGTAGGAGGCGGGAAGGCGGTCCGAACCGAGAGATGGTCTCGGGTCCAAGCAGCCTTTTTGCCTTCAGTCTGAACTTCCAGGAACAAGGCGTAGGCAGCCCCCGCCCCCCTTCTCTTTTTCTCTCTTAAAGAAAAACACTTTAAAAACAAACTCCTTCCCACCCCTCCTTTTTTCTTTTTTCTTTTTTACTCATCTCTAAGTTAGAGAAAAGCTCTGCAGAACGATAAAGATTTGGTTTGATGGGCTGGAACTCAGATTTGTGGCTGCATATGTTTTTCCCCAGTTTCCCTTTGTGGCATTTTATGTAACAAGGGCTCGTAAAGAAGGGAGGGAAGGGGAGGGGGGGAGGGGAGAAAAGGGGAGGGGGGGCCTGGGGAGGAGGAGGTGGTGTAGCATGCTAATAAAGCTGCCTAGTCTCTCTCTGGGAAGCTTGGAGTTGAAATCCATCAGAGGTCAACAATGAAATGAGTTTGGTGATCTTAATATGAGCTTGGCTAGGCCATTCCTTCCGAGAGTTGGCCAATGATTGGCAGGCTCCTACTTGGAAAGGTCATTAAAGGGACTTTCAGAGAGATTTCCAGGCCAGACCTGAGGAGGTCTTGGAGACTAGCGTCTTAACCAAAGGGCTAAATTACCCATGATGCTCCCGAAGAGGGAATGCTCTCCCTCCTCCCCCATTCTGGACAGAGTGACCTATTGGTGGGGTTAGAAGGGAAGGATGTTTCAGTGCTCTGGACTTTTTACAAATGCCTGTCCCTGTGGAGGGCAGGGAATAAGCATTTATATAATGCCTGATATGTGCCAGGTACTGGACTAAATGCTTTACAAACATCTCATTTTATCCTCACACAATCCTGCATGACATGTGCTGTGAATGTTACCCCCATTTTACAATTGAGACAAACAGAGGTCAAGTGACTTGCCCAGGATCACACAGCTATTAAGTGTCTTCTATTAAATTTGAACTCATATCTTCCTGCTTAGAAGCCCAGTGTTCTATCAACTTGGCCATCTAGCTGCCTAATTGTAAGGCCAATTCACTGTCACTTTTGTTTGGGTGTGATGAATTTGTGCCCTACAATGAATTTGTGCATTGGCCATCCCTGGAATAGTAAGATGCAATGAAGGTTGAAGTTCACGTAAGAGGCATGTGTGAGTGAACGGACGAGAACATTATCCATGTCAGTTAGAAATACAGTTACAGCAAGTGATGTATTTCAGTGCCCCATTCATCCATTTCCCATTGGACTCCTTGAAATGTGCCATTCGCATTAACTGTCCTTCCTCCTAAAGAGTTGTACATGTAAATATCGGTAACTTGTCTGGTTTTATTTTATTTTTAAATAGCTCACACATTAAAGAAGGCAGTGGTTTGTTAGGGAAATTCTCTTGCTTAAGGCAATCCAGTGATCCAGACTTTGCCTCCATCATGATGGTTTGGAGGTAGAGAGTGGGGATGTTCCTTAGATGTTTTTCTGTTGGGGAAGGAGTGACCTTCCATTTTTCCTTTCCCTCATCTTTAAAATGATACCATCAATGGCTGGTATGCTCAGAAAGAATGCAGAAGTCAAGGGGGGACTTCGTTCTGGCTGGACCTTTTGCCAATAGGATACCACTTCTTCTTTAACAAGCTAGGATTGTGAAGACTCCAGTAGCTGACCCACTGCCTTGATACTGGGAGTCCACATCACATCTACAGAGGCAATAACATTTTTATTGAATTCATCAAGCTTTGGAGCATTTTTATGTAAATACCAGAGCCATCCTATGTACTGACCCTTTTATTAAAGAAGTGACTTCCTCCATGGACTATGAAACACCCCATACACTTCTAAACTGACTAAGTTGTTTTTCAGAAGCTCCAACTTTACAGTCAACTCAGAAAAAGTTAACCACTAAAAATGAAAACAGACAAAAATGGTCCCAGATGAATGGTTGACAATGAGGACCATTATCTGACCAGAAAAAAAAGTTGTAAATGAATGGAGCCTTTTGTGGGCAGTTTTATCTGCAGACTCAGGATTCAGTCTTCATAAAAGTGGGAGGGATAGAGCCACCACCAGGCAAGTGTTTGGTCCTTGCCAGAAATCCCCAATGATGCAGAAAACCCACTGGCTTTGCCTGTGTTAGCATCTTCCAGATGAAGCTCCCATTTGTGTTGGTACTCGGGATGCTTCTGTAGCAAGCAGGAACTCTGGGAGATGCTTTCTCCAGACTTTCTCAAGTCTACGTGTCATATATTTGTAGCACCTGGTGCAACCCCCTCATTTTTTTTGGCTGAGTGAGGTTAACTGACTTGCTCAAGGTACTAGACAGCAGAGTGGAGCTTTCACCCAAGTTCTC